AATTGGTTGTTACTAGTGTACTAGGGTAATGTTAGAGGTTAACAATGGAGGAAACTGGGAGCAGAGTTTGTACTATGCAACTTTTCTGTAAACTAAAGTTATTCCAAAATAAAATGCTAATTAAAAAACACCGCAAATACAGTTGAAGGGGAAAAAAAGGCTTTTCTGATATGATGTTTGCAGAGGAAGATGCCTTTTAGTTTATAAATTATTTCCATAATTCGTGACAGTTCTCACATCTGCTACTATAAAATTCATAGCAGCTTCTCTGCCTCTTGGGAAAAAATGCATTTAATTATCAGTGAAATTCAACTTCAGCTTGTTATGATGAATGATTTGAACCTGTCAGCTCCCCCCCAAAAAAACAAAAGAACTGAAATGAAATACAGTCTTATTCTTCTACCCCCTTCCTTCCACCTGCTTCATTTAATTGATGAAGGTTTGAGCTTTTATTAATCTTTTTGAGCTCTTCTGTAAGATGCAGAAAAAGCTAATATGATATCATTGTATCTAGCTAATGTGTGTGCTTTGTGAAATTGATACACCCTGCCAAGACATAAATTACTTAAGCTTTGATAAATGTGTTGAAATCAGGGAATGTTCAAACAGATAAAGCACAGCAATTCCTCTTTCTTCCCCTGTTTAAAACTCCATTTTGTGCTTGCAGTTAAATGTTTTGCATTATTATTGTAATATGATGGGACAGAAGACAGCAATGATGTTGAAATTAGCATGAAGAGCCCCAGCAAGTACGAAAGGAAACAGGGGGATACAGCCATGTGTTTAGATAACGTCTAACTTGCCTTGAACGCAGAGGGTCGCCAACAGCTTCAAAACCACCTACAGTCTTCTCTCAGCATGTTGCATCACAGAAATTATCCATGGGGGAACGTGGGCACCTGCCAGACACTTTGTACTTTCAGCCTTGGCTGACTCATTTGGAAGGTTGGAATCAAAGATCCACAAACACATTTTGTTGGCAAAGAGAGTTCACCTGTACTTGTGATCTAGGTGTGACTCAGAGACCAATGGAAATGGAAACATGAGAAAGCATTTGATTCATGTTCCGGAGTTAAGAAGGTTGATTTCTTCTTGGTCATTAATTTATCACACAGTGTGAAACAAGTTGCTCAATTAGCTATTAATTAGTTTTCTGGAGGTTTGAAAATTCATGTAATCCTTTGGCTATGTGGGTTATAGCCAGTGAAAGGCAGAAGCCTGCCCACTGGACTATGGAAAGGCCATCAATCATTGAGTTTCATTTGCCAAGAAGTAGGCTCCATCCATTCTTTTGATTAGTCCTTACAACTAACCATCAAAGGATAGGTGAGAAAACTGGGGTTCTGGTCAGCACTTGAGCAAGGGGTGATGATGTCATCAAGTACCAAACTGCTTTTTCTGTCGTGTCATAATGTTTCCCAGTCAGGTGTAAGTGGGTAAAGGGGACAAAGTTGTGGCTCATCAGCCCTCATCTTCCCCTTTAGCTCTTCTGAGGTTAATCATGGCCTTGGAGACTTAAGTCATGAGCCATTTAGCCTTGTAGAGGAAAGGGTACCTTCTCAGCCAAGATGTTATAAAGTGATAATTTATGACAAGAGGCTGGCGCTGAATAAGTTACAGCAAAGGGAAAGGAAACGAAGAGAGGGAGGCAGCTTTGTAAAAGACCACAAGAGATACTTTTACGCTTTTAATCATACTCTTGTAGTGGTGTACTATTAATTCCCAATGGTTTTTTGAGTTTGGACTTCGATTTGGAAAATCAGCACTTGTGAGAACTGACCATGTATTTTAAAATAATAAATAGATGAAGTTGTACACAGCTTTTCTCAGCTTGTCTAATTTTGTTGTTAAAGCACATTAAAAACATGATGGTCTAGGCCTGGGGTTGAGGCTCAGCAGTAGAGCACTCACCTAGCACGTGTGAGGTCCTGGGTTCCATCCTAGCACCACATAAAAATAAATAAAATTTTTTTAAAAAAATGATGGTCTAGGACAAAGCAAAAAAAAAAACACCTAAATATATAGATATAATTTTATACATATAAATAGACAGTGTTTTTTTTTATGTAGACCAACTTTAAAAGCAGTGGTACCTTGAGTAGCTCTTGGACCTGAAGAGTAATATGTTAGAGAGAATTTTTTATAAATCAAATTCCATTTCAAGTTCTCATGAAGAATTTTTTTCTGAGGAATTAAAGAGTCTTTATAAAAAAAACAATTGCATTCAATTTATCTATTTGATAGGCTCTATTAGCTTTTGTTCTGTTTTGTTTCAAGCCAATATTTCTTAAGTGAGTCTCATATATTTGGGTAAAGTTATATTACAACATAAATGACTTCTGGGAAAATCTTCAGATCTTTAAAAAAAATTTCAGTAAATATTCACACATTATTATTATTGAATAATCTTGGAACCATCACAACAGAAATCCTAGAAATAAAAGGAGAATCTCTTAAAATGTTGGGGGCCTATTGTGTCTTCCAAAATGCATCAGAATCAGATGAGAATCTATGTGATGGCAAAATATACTCATCATTGAAAGATGGACTCAATGTTTATAGGTTTTCAGTAACGGAAAGTGAGAAAAATCAAGCAAAGCACTGAATCAAGAGAAATTATCCAGTCAGAAAATTTTCAGGAAAGTATATAACATACAACATACACTTTGAGAAGAAGAGAAGAAGAAAAAAAAAGTAGACCACTGCTGCTGGTAGCAATGAATGTTTCAACATGTAGTTGAAAAAATATTTTTGGGTGGAAATATGTATCTTAGTTCTGCTAATGAAGTATTAATTAGGACAGTGGGGTTTAGGAATAAGAACTGAGGGGGTTTTAAAGGCATGTGACAAAGGGAACATGTCAGAAGGGATGTGTCCTATGAAAGAGAGAAAGGAAAGCAGGAATGAGGGAAGAAGTTTGAAATCTATACTAAATTAAGGGGTAGAAATGGGGAAGCAAAGGAGCAGCTCTTGCACACCAGATGTTGAGCAAATGGAATGTGTTATCTGTCAGCATTTCCCAGGCAAGACAAATCTTACTGGAGACAGGTGAAAAATAGTTGACAGACTCTGGGCAAAAAGAATCATGATCACAGAGTGGAGAAATCGGACCTTCATCTCCCAGAGGCTTCTTGCCTGAGCATGTGACTTTGGAGCTCTTTGGAGCAAGGCCAGGACATGTCCCTTAGACCAGTCTTCATCAGTTCTCAGGAAACCCAAGTCAGAATTGGAGCCAGGTTACTGAACTCCATGGGCTGCTTTCAGTTGATCTACCTACCTCCTAATTAAGAGTGCTCAACATCAGAAAGCTATAATTATATAGTATCAGACATATTTTGAGCCACAAATCCTGAGTGATTGTCCTTCTTTCTCTAGTGAATATGCCATCCTTACAACCCTAGGAAAAAACAAACAAATAATCAATTCAGGATGTATAAGCCCCTACGAAGTTATACGGGTTCTTAATGGTAAGCATATGCATCATTAATTTGCCCTTCTGCCAACATCAGTAATTTTAATGAAAATAATTTTTTAAACTGTAGAAATTGGGAAGAAAAGGCTTTAGAAAATTAATCAAGGCAGAAATGTATATCCAACACCCCCTATACTACTCCCATCAAAGGAAAAAATAAACCCCACAATTCCACTCATATATTTTGAGTCCTTGAATACCTCCCTCAAAGTGATCTTGGAAACAGGTATAGGTAAAAAAAACACTTTTCACAAGGTTCTGTTAGAACTTAAACTTCTAAAATTTTATGAACATACAAAAGAGGACCTCATGTTATCAAACTACACCGTGTAGCTGAGTGCAATATTTATAATCCAGGCTGTGTCCTTTTTTTCCCCAAAATTGTATTGAAAGCAATAATTTCTGGAGTAATTTGAGACCAGTTCTACCAAGTGCTTTGCAAGTATGAAAGGACTAGAGCAACGGTACATAAACACAGCGTCTCTTCTCTCCTCATCCTTTTCATCATGCTGACAGTTTTCCGTAGAATCATCACAGGAGTGGTTTGTGCCATTAGAGATAAGAGGCTATCTGTGTTTCCACTAGGAACCTCTATTTTCCAGACTTTATAACTCATCCATAAATATTCACTCCAGTCAACAGTTTCATATGTAATGATTCTGCCCCTTGAAAATCCATATTGACTCAACTAAATGATTTTTAGAAATTGTAAGGACCCTTGTAGTACAAAAGTAAAAGGAAAATCAAGTGCAAACAAAGTGCTATATTTCAGTGACTATGATTTGAACTAAAATGCTGTAGAACCAGTAAAACACATGTTCATGATGCTTTCCTAGCAATCCTGTCTTTTGATTATAATATTGCTATAATAAAATATATTAAATCATATAAGTCTACTTATATTTATACTTTTAACATTAATTTATGTTTCTATTAAGACAACTAAATGTGTAATTATATTTTTCCCACTGAAACTTCTGTAAAACCTCTTAACATTAATCACATGCCTTTTTTTGTAACAACTTGAGATAGAATTATATCAAAAACTATAAAATTATATGTCTTAAGCCTTTGAATATAATAACATCCTTCAAATATGTTTACTAGACTTATCAATACCTTATATTCAAATGCTGTATAGCTCCTTGGTAGGAATTTTCAGCATCTAAAGCTGTCTTCCAACAGAAAAGACCTCACAAATTTAACAGTTTTTATCAAATGAGAGGCCAAAACATGATACTTTTCACAATCTGGAAAAGAAAAATTGTGAAGATGAGGAAACAGAAAGAAAAAAATCCCATCAACCCTCAAAATAAAATGCCCTCTTCCTAACTTTACCATTTTAATTTTTCTATTCACAGTTGGAATTAAATGCTCATCTCGTAATACTGCTGAGACCAGCTGTGTGTGTGAATGCTATTTAACAAGACTCCAAATACTATTGAAACTCTCTTGTGCTTTGCCTTCAAGTCTGTGTGCATGCTCAAAGCCCACCTGAAGTTGATTTCTCTTTCTTCTTTCCCCACAGCTCTTCTGTGATGGTAAAGAGGCGGTGCATGCCTCAGAAGGTCTGGACTGGGAAGACAAAGATACCCCAGGGACATTGGTTGGAAATGTGGTGCACTCAAGGATCATCAGTCCTCTGCGCCTGTTTGTTAAACAGTCTCCAGTGCCCAAGCCAGGTCCCATGGCATATGCAGACAGCATGGAAAACTTTTGGGATTGGCTGGCCAATATCACAGAGGCTCAGGAGCCATTAGCAAGAACTAAGCGGAGGCCAATAGTGAAAACGGGAAAATTTAAGAAAATGTTTGGATGGGGTGACTTTCATTCCAACATTAAAACTGTCAAACTCAACCTTCTCATCACAGGGAAAATTGTCGACCATGGAAATGGAACCTTCAGTGTTTATTTCCGGCATAATTCAACAGGCCTGGGCAATGTTTCAGTGAGCTTGGTACCTCCTTCCAAAGTGGTGGAATTTGAAGTTTCCCCCCAGTCGACCTTAGAGACCAAGGAATCCAAATCTTTCAATTGTCGCATTGAGTATGAAAAAACAGACCGGGCAAAGAAGACCGCCCTGTGCAACTTTGACCCATCCAAGATTTGCTACCAGGAGCAGACTCAGAGCCATGTGTCTTGGTTATGCTCTAAGCCCTTCAAGGTCATTTGCATTTACATTGCCTTTTACAGTGTTGATTATAAACTTGTGCAGAAGGTCTGTCCTGACTATAATTATCATAGTGAGACCCCATACTTATCTTCTGGCTGAATCTGTCCACAGTGATAGAAATGAGAGACTCATGTATATTTAATTAGAATGAACAAAAAACAAGCCCAGCTTTCCATGGTACAGGATCCCTTTTGTTTCTGTCAGTGAACCATAGTTTCCCATCACATTTTCAAATGAAAAGAAAAAGAAACATATTCCAAGGTGAAATGTGTTTGTTTCTATCATAAGTACCTTTATCTAAAGAGTCAAACTGTTTATGAAAACCATCCCTTTCATGTGAGATGGCTAAGATCTAGAAATATTATTTCTGTAAAAGCAGCATCAAAGGTATCCACGTGGGGAAAAGAAGGAAGCCAATTTCACATGTGATAGACATTGCTCTTGAAATGAGCCGGCCTTTGAAATATATTTTGGAAAGTTACCTCAAATTCGGTAAAGATTTAGTAAAATACCTGAAAAGATGGTATTTGATAGATGAATTGTGTTTCTGATATGGATTGCTTTTTTTTTTTAAATTGCTATCTCTTTCCCCACATTGGTGCCAGTATTGATAAAGAGAGAGGAAGGGGTAAAATTTGTTTCAAAACCCGTGTGTAAAGTTACGGTGCCACAGAGGAGCAACCTGAGCTGTTCAGTGGAATGTGATTCAGCACCTACCTAACCCCGTGTTGGTCACCACCTTTATGATTCTCATCTGAGTAATAATACTGGTGTACTGGAAAGCAAATTGGGTACGTCCACTCAACAATAATGAAGACCATGATGTTTATAGTCTTTTACCAATGTTAATGCTGTGAGGTTGTCAGAAGCGACATAAAATTTGTAGTCATCCTAAGAGCTTATTCCCTCGTTCTACTCATTTAATGGTCTGATTTAATTATCTACATATGTAGAACAACTCTGAAACTGAGCAAAAATGGTTGATTCCTTAGACTGGAATGGGAAAAGTAAAAATGAAAGCTGAAGGAAGGAATTCCAGGACTGTGAGTTCATAATCTCTAGCCTCTCAGATTAAGTTCTTGTATTTAGTTAATTATTAGGAAGAAGGATGAAACTATGTGGTAATAATGAGTTATATTTGAACATTTCTAATTATAAAGCGCTGATATCCAAGATACCTGGCTCACTTGGCTTTTGAAATTACTTCCAAATTAATGTCACTTCACAACCAGTGCCCTTCTCGAATTCCCTGAGGGACCAGTGGCAACCTGTATGGTAGAACTGGATGATCAATGGATTAGCACAGAAAGAGGATCTGCTTGGCAAGGAGAGAGACTTCTAGAGCTCGGGCTTGTGGAATGGTTTGCTATTTACAATAGACGTTAACTTCTTCCCCCGGCCTTCTTATCTGTAAAATATCAATTAATGTAAAACATTCAATTGTGGACTAAAGGAAGATAAGTCCTAACCAACAAAAATGCCCTTACCACACTGTTCAGAAAGCCAACAACAGCTCTGTTCTATATTTTTACATCTCCATTCTCTTCCTGTGTGATATCTGCACAGTGTTCGATTTTGTCTTTTGTAAAAATTGTACTAGGCTTAGTGTGTGGTAGTACAGGCTTGAAGTTTTTGCTCTGAGTTCATCAGGTGCTTTTGTAATTTTGTGGTCAGTAAGTAATATTTTGAGGCATCTTTTTATTTTCATCTAGAAACAAGAGTAGAATACTATTTATTGTAAAATACATGGGAACCGTATATGTATATATACTTAGAATTTTCTGTGTACAGAGAAAGTGTGTGTACACATTTCTATGTAAATAAAAAGAATTTGCTAGATCTCTCACATGATTTCAGGGTGGTTATATTTTAAAGAGTCTTTGTTCTTGCTTTTCGGTGATTCTCTCTCTCTCTCTCTCTCTCTCTCTCTCTCTCTCTCTCTCTCTTTGTGTGTGTGTGTGTGTGTGTGTGTGTGTGTGTGTGTAATACCAGTTGAACAGTAACATTTTCCTAATGTACATATTAAATAGGGCATCTTGGCTGTAGAGATTATAGAGTAAAAGAATAATTCACATAGAGCATATGGTACAGAGCCTGACACCTAGTAAGGAACTATAAATGTGATTGTAATTACTACAACATCAAATGAGATTTAAAGCTATTTGATGTTCCAAAGTTGAGAGATTATAAACATTATTTCCATGCAAAGGAAAAATACCTCTGTAAATTGATTTATACAATCTGTGGATTTTAGTTGGGTTTATGAAATTTTTTTAAAGTTTCCCACAGGCATATTTTTAAATTGGAGTAGAACATATGCCACATGTATTTCTAAGTCATAATTTCATTTCCAAGCCTACGTAATTGTCAGTGATGGCGCTTGGCGCAGTATAAATCAGACCCTATTTAAACATGCAAATGCACACATTTCTGCAAAGCCGATCTTGCCTTTTAGTACTGCAGATGAGGAAAAGGACACTTGTATAAGCTAATTTTGCACCCAGTCATAAATGGTTCAAAAATTAAGAAACACAACTTTTTAGAATTTACGATTAAACGAATGGGCATATGGAAACTAAATAAATAAAAGTGGTTAGTCCAACGTCAACAAAGAGAAGAATAATATTTTAAAGAGTGCACCTTATCTTGCTATCACAATCCCCTCATTTGAAAGAAAGTTATACCCAAGGCCTCATTAAGGTAAAGAATGCACCCAGTAGTGAGTGGCAAACCTGATTGAAGTGCATTTCTCCCGACTTCTAGTCCCAGGTCTTGTGTTCCATCAGGAAGACAAATTGAAGCAGGGATTTCAGATAACAAAAATAATTACAGTGAGTTTATAACAATACATTACCCCAAAACTAAAGAAAAACATTTGAAATGGCCTTCCTCTAAAATCTACAAGATTGCAATTTCCTTAAGAATAAAAGATTTTTACAAATTGTAACTACAACCATAGAAGAGTAAAGCTGAGATAGAGGCATTAAGGCAGGTGCGGTAGGTCAGGCCTTGTAATCCCAGTGACTCCAGAGACTGAAGCAGGAGGATGGCAAGTTAGAGGCCAGCCTAAGCAATTCAGCAAGGCCCTAAGCAACTTAGCAAGGCTCGGTCTTAAAATAAAAGAAAGGGAGTTAGGCATGTAGCTCAGTGGTTAAAGTGCCCCTAGGTTCAATCCCAAATTCCAAAAACCTAATTAATAAAAAAATTAAAAGATACATTACATCCAAAGATCAGAGTCCTGGAATATTTTAGAGTTATACCTGGTGAAGAATTAATAGCAATATAACACTACATTTGGCAGAGTTTTCAGATGGTTATAGCACCTGAGAAAATATTTTCATGGAAATTGGTAAGTTGTATGAAATAATTATTGATTGCATAAAGGCCTGATTTTACCTCATAAAAAATATTAAATTAATAGCCCAACCTGAAAAATAGAGGATAGAGTTATATATATTTGTATTTGCAATAAAACTATAGTTAACCTAAAGTTAATCAGAATTTTTAATGAATGGAAACTTAATATGACCCAATGTAAAAAACAAATCACCGTAAAATAAGCTCCTACTAGAGATATTTTTTTCTTTTCTTTTAGTTATTTTTTATTATTATTATTTTTGTCTTCAGAAAGGTCTTCTAGAAGATATTCAAGGACCATTTCATATTCACTGCATACTGAGGTCTGGAACTCTGGGAACACATCCCATTCTGTTTTGCTTTAATCTTTCTTTTTCTTAATTCAATTCAACTTCCTCCACAAATAGTATGTAATCTAGGGCTGGGGATGTGGCTCAAGCTGTGGCGCGCTCACCTGGCATGCACAGGGCACTGGGTTCAATCCTCAACACCACATAAAAATAAAAAATAAAGATATTGTGTCCACCTAAAAAAAAACTAGAGAATAAATATTTTTTTTAAAAAAGTAGTATGTAATCTATTCTCTAAAAGAATGTCTCCTTCACAGCACCTGACAAAGTATCTGGTTTCTAATAGTGTACTAAGATGCTCCAGAGAAACAGAACCAGTAAGATCTATACGGATATATGATATTTATTATTTGAATTGGCTCACACAGTTCTGGAGGCCAAGAAGTCCTATGATGTGCCACCTGCAAGCTGGAGAGCTAGAAGAGCAGACAGTATGATTAGTCCAAGGCCAAAGGTGTAACCACTAGGAGCCCTCAACGTCCAAGGAGAGGACACATGAATGTCTTTGCTCAGAAACAGCAAGAAAGTGAATTTGTGTTTCCTCCACTTTTATATTCTATCCAGCCCTCAATGCATTGTGTAATGCCCACCATATTGGTTAGGGTGGATTCTTACTCAGTTTACTGATTCCAATGCTAATCGCTTTCTGAAATACCCTCAAAGAAACACCCAGAAATAATGTCTTTCCAGCTAAACATCAGAGTATCCCATGACTCAGTCTTGTTGACAGATAAAATTAACCATCACAAGTAAATTTTTCATCAGCATCTGTTATTTGATATTTTCTTAATCTCCAGTGTAATAAAATGATTACTCAAGACCCACTCTTTTCACACAAGGTGAGAGTTATTTTGCACCATTTCCAGCACAAAAAAACTTGCTCCAGCTGAACACCGTATCCACTGAATATTAGTTCCCAGAACCATAGGCACTTAAAAGTTAGAAACAATGTTGGAATTCATCTAGAATAAGTTTTGCTTATCAGCTAAAGAAATAGAAACCTGATGGGGATTAACAGCCTCATCATTCTTATTGTTCTTCCGGACTAGATAAAGCCATTCTTTCTCTTCTTCATTCCTCCAATACATGGGTGTTTTTCTTCTACGATAGAGACTCCCAGATGTCCACCACAATATGTTCTATATTTCCATTACAATGAAAAGGTCAAGTATATGGGCTGGCCAGCTACATTGCATGCCCCTGCCACTCTCATAGAGAGGCGCCTTGTGGAGCTACAGTGAGAACCAGGGAGGGGTACACTTTCAAGAGTGGAGTGACATCCAAGTGCACGCATGCTCTTCTGTGCTCCTTCCCCATATTTCCCTTGGATAGATGCCCCAAGGGACCCATTGCAAGGGGAAAAGCAACTGCTAACCTGAGTGCTTTTCTTATCACAGAAGAGAGTTACCACATCTCCAAACTCACGCTGGATTCCTATATGAGTAATGAACACACATTTCTTCTTTAAGTCATGAATTTTTAAGATGGATTTGTTACTGCAGTTCCCTATGACATAACTAATACAAACATTGCATAAAATATTCTTGTCGTGTCAGGGCCTTGACCCAGGAAACCGATTTGGGGTTCAGCAAGTGGAAGAAGATGCAAGGCACGGTGGGAATGGTGGTCATTCTGCATGCAGAGGTAGCCATAGCCATTAGCCATCCACCAGCTTCAATTTCAACCCCCAGCCAATTCCATTTTAGCACCTCCCCTTTGCCCATTTCCTTAGGCTCTTTTTATATGCAGTCTCAAAACAAAGAAGGCACACTGCCAACAGGTTACATAAGGGGGTGAGGGGCACATGCTCACATGTTTATGACCTTGATTCTGTATGCTGAATCTCTGTGTTTCTGGTTTTTACTAACCATAACAGAGTTGGTTCCCAACCCTGGCTACCACATAGCCTGCCGGAAAGCTCAGTAAGGGAACCTAACTACAGCCACTTGGGAGCCCGCCTCAGCAATTCTCTATGTACCCTACCTCACTCTGATCTTTGTCTTTTTGAAATAGTGCAACCCACAGTAATCATAATCCCATTCCACTCATTTCATTAAAGAATCATGCAAATCTACTTCATTACACCAATATGCTAGATACTTTACAAATAAGCATAGAATTTAGAGTTGGTCCAACCTGGATTTGTTATCTTGAATCTGCCATTTATAGTGTGACCTTCAGCCAGCTGCTCAACCTCTCTGAACATCAGTTCTCATCTGCAAAATGAAGTTATAACACCTGTCTCGGTGTTGTTGAGGTGAAGGTAAATATCACATAGATTATGAGCAAAAAGAAATGACAAGAACTTTCGAGTACAATGCTTCTATTTTTTTTTTTTGTATTTTTGCTAATACTTTTATGCAGTATAGGTATACTAATCCTAGTGTAGACAATCATTGTTTCTTTTTACTCAAAATCTCTCCCTCAAAAACTATCTGATATATCAGTCAGTGAAAACATCTTCATTCCTAGGCTCAATACCATATCTATATGCAGGTAGACAAGTAATTGAATTTCACGGGTGTCTTCAGAGAGATAGCTACTTAAGATGCTTTCTTTCTATCTGTATTTGGGGGAAAAATGAAAACTTAAATATAACATTTTGCAAACAAAAAATTGAATTCAAAAACCACGATACAGCATATTATAAAACTCAAATTTCCTTTAGGTAGAAAATAAATCTTACATTAAACAAAAACTAAAACAAAAATAAACTAATTTTACTTAATTAATAAAAGCTGCTTAACAGAATAATGATCTATAAAGGAAACCTATGGCTGGAACTGTCTAGATGTCCCTTTCTTATTAATTTTATCAAATCAACGTAGTTATGTTGCTGGATCCCAGCAGCTACTTTATATAATGTGAACTTGGACATCACACTCTCTGTGCAGCACTGCAGAGGACTTAGAAGTCTTCTCTGAGAATGCAGAGTTAGAACTAATGACAAGTTTATCTTGAACAGTACATTTATGGTTTCTTAGATATGATGTTTTGCAATATGTAGGTAAGAGAGATAGTGAACTTTTCCTGCTAAAGAGGGAAGCATTCTGAAAGGAGCACAACTGAGAAAAGGTGAGTCCTTAATGGACTCAACTCTCTCCATCTGGTTCATTCCCGAGGACTGGCTGCAATCTTGCCTTT